TATTTCTTATATCAATACCCTATTTTTTCATAATACAAGAACATTTTTTTGATACACGAATATATTTATTTCACATACATTAACATTATTTTATATCACAATTCCGTGTAAGTATCATTCTTTTTTACATATATATGAATAGTTTACCATAATGTATGGATTTTTCTTTTTAGTAGATTTTTTTGGTATGTATATTTTATCATTTCGCAACACATAATATCCTTTTAAAATGATTAATTTTTTTCCATAAAGTATGTGTGAATTTTGATATTTTTAGGAAAGAGGAAAATGTGCTTGGTAATGCGTGCTAGTTGTCAGCCTATTTATGCTTTCTTCGGATGGAGCTACAGTATGTGCCGATGAAAGCCTTATTCCACGCTCCTTGTCGCTATAATGCGCACCTTGTGTAATACTAGGTCAGGCCCATTTTTTCCATTGTGTGTTTTTTGTCGATTTTCTTTCCTTTTCCCATTAATTTCATGTTGATTTTTCTTTTTCTCCATCGGTTTTTAGTTGGTTTTCCTCATGTTTCCCATTTTTAGTTATTTTTATGATACATGAATGTTTTTTTAACCTGGCATTTTATAAAAAAACACATGAATTATTTTATAGTTTCCAAATTTGTTTTGTCTAAATACACAAACAATTTTTAAAGTACATCAACGTTTTTGGTACATATATAAAAATATAACAAGCGACAACCATGTCTTCAAATAGATGAACCTTTCTATTTTATCTTTGCAGTATATATCCTGAAACTTTTTCTTCAGAATAATTTATTTAGTTAAGTAAATACTATTTTCAGAATAAAAATGTGAAGATATTTGTGCCAGCCCATATACGAGCTTCCGCGCGTTATAAGGGCTTTAAGCCATGAATATGAGCTCTTTGCAGGTTAAGGCGGAAAATAGGGGCACCCTATTTCTAAGATCTTCGACTAATCACCCACATTCTTTTTAAAAAGATGGCCCCAAGTATTAATTATTAAAATGTTATTACAATAATTCATGATAGAATAGATCGCGCAAGGCAGAACAAAATTAAGAAGAACACCATCCAATCTATTATTGGAACTAAATTTTGCAATCTCATGCACCGCGGAATTTACCTGACGGTCGGAAGAGCCCGACATAAAGCGTCACTTGTTGCCTCGAAGGGCAAGGTGGTACAGATTTGTTTTTCAAGAATGCTTCGGGAACCGGTTATGATCCCGGCCTTCTTTCAGAAACAGCGGGCTCAATTCGACCTCGACCTAGAAGCAATCGAGCTCAAGGATCAGCCCAGGGGTGCCTCAGGAGACCGGAAGTCGGATCACCAGCCAGGCCCGAGGCACCCTGAGGCATTATGCGGCCCCAACTATCGGTCCGTCATCTGGGTCCCCAACAAGGAAGGATCTAGAAGACTTGTCATTCAAGACGAAGAAGCCAAATTCGAGGAGGACTCCTCCATCACCTTAGCCGACTAGGGATCTTGTAAATAGTAGACCCAAACACAAGCTCCCCTGTCTTCGCTTCCATCATCAGTTTCAACGCGTGCATCATGAGAGCTTTCTGGCTCGAAACCATGAGCATATGTCTTTGCACTTTTCCAGCAAGAGCTCATCGCCGGCGCAAAACTTTTCCATCGCACTCTTCCATCCCTAACCTGCAAACATAATTGATTGAGACCAAAAATAATTACTGAGGGGGGGTTCAAACTAACTAATTAGTTCACAATTTGCGAAATCATTATTCCAATTCACTCAATCCAATGGCCCTATCAACAAATCCTATGCATATTCACTAAATTTTTCAGGACTCTTTTACTGGGGGATAAACTAGGGTTTTCTAGTGTTAGGATTTGGTACTTACGAGATGGCCAAGGGCCTTGTGCTACTCGAATCGATGGGCCAAAGAGCGATGCTATGCACCAGGTACCTCTGTCATCGAGCTCTCCTCGGGAAGACGGGCGGAGTGGGTGGCGAGGGAACGATGACGACGATGGCTGGGGGGGAGGGCTGTGTGGTGCCGACGGCTAAGTGGGGGTTCGGACGTGCGGGTCGGGCTATTTTAGGCGAGAAATAGTGATAGCCAAAGAACTAGGTCCCACTCGAGAAGTTGCCTCGGCCCAAGTGCCATAAGCGGTCGCGGCCCACCTGTCATAAGAGCCCCAGCCCCACTCCTCAGTAAGTGCGCCATGTAACGGTCAACTGCTTTGATCCGACGTCAAGGCTTCATTTGAGCAATTGTGAGAATGAGCTGAGTGAAGGAGGGGAAATGTGAGGAATGTTTGTTGCCATGGGCAAATCTGAGTAGAACTAAGGAACAGAGGGTACGGATATAGAAATCCCTTGTTTAAACTTCCGCTTCGTCTATTTGGATTGAAACAACCAGTCGAGTAGAAACTTTGCTTTTGCAAGAGTAAGGCTTTTTAGAGTGCTTATCCAAAGGCTACCCATTGGTGTTGATTGTTCACCTTTCGTTCTTGGATTTGCTTCGCTAGTTATCTCCTTCTCCTCCAATTCATGAAGACCGAGCAACCATCTGTATCATTGTGTCACCTCAGAATATCTTATATTGTTAACATCAATACAATGTTGTGTCGCTGCTAGCTATAGTTCCATGCCATCCTTCTCCACTCTTAGCTTTAGTTTCTACGTACATCATGGGTGGTAAGTACTCCATAATATAAGAACATTTTTAACACCAGTGTAGTGTTAAAAACGTTTTTATATTTTGGGACAGAGGGAGTACATGTCTACCAAGTACGCATGAAAGAAGATGACATGGTTTGACAGTGAGGCCCAATTGCGTTACAGATCATAAGCAGAGGGGGAACAAGAGATGATATTATTGTGATTTACGAGAGCAACGATATTTCGCAACTTAGATAGAATAGAGATTGTCTTGTCTCATTAATTCAGAACATTATTGGTCAATATTACATACACAGGAATGTGAAAACAATAACTAAAGACTGATTTTGAAGAGGATTGTTGGAACCTCAATCAAAAATATTTTCTACTTTATCAAAACAATATTTTGCTAAAATCTAACAGAACGATGCAAAAAAAGTGCAACACAAAATAATTAGTAACGCTCGAGGAACATAGATAAAATACTTTGGCTCGTCTCATAAAGTAAAATAAAAATACTACCACTCATCACTCAGTTAGGTTAGTTACACAGCAAGAGCCGGATATGATGAAGGCACAAATCTTTCCCTCATCTCGTTAAATAAAATACATTAAGTAGCCATGCTTCTACCCGCCACTTTTTTTGGCACTCAAATCTATTAACCAACTAGTAACACAAACAACGCTGAAAAAATAATATTAAAGTCCTTGGGGATGTATCGCCTTCACCCCCTCCCCCCGCCCCTCTTGAACGGGTCAATGGTGCGCCGTCGCATGTCACTCTATCGCCGGAGCCAGCCTGCCATTGTTGATCACAGATGGGAAGTCATCAAGGACACAATCTCGCCAGACCAGCGCCCTAAGCAAGAAATCGTCGCACTGGAAGAGCCGCAACTAAACCTCTTATTTCTCACAGGCCTCACACCAGCATCGGAAGTTGCATCGACGTGAAGGAAACGAAGCCAGAGGATCAAATTGCAAAAGGAAGCAGCCGCCGTGTCGGAATGGCCGAGGAGAAAATACTCCCTCGAGCAATTGATGCCGCCGCAAATGGCACTGTCGAGTTTGAGAGACTTGAGTGAACCTTATTCAAGCGCCACCACCACCACTAACGAGTTGCCACCAAAGGGGACTCTATTGAGCACCGCCACCGCCACCACCAAAAAGGCCAAAGCGACGCACAACAAAAACCAACCTAACAGCCTCAAATCAGGGAAAGCTGCAACTTCATGCAGTAGATATGGACCTCTCCGCACTCCCATATCAACAAAGCCCATGGAGGAATTGCCAACTGTTGGCGGAGGAGGGGTGGTGACACGATGCGTCCATGAATTGTCTCTCCTAAGGTTTGGAGAGGAACGGTTGGGGAAAAGGATGCGTTCTTCCGTGCCACTTCGATATTTGTAGTTTTTATCTTGGAACTTACTTTTCTGATGATTGTGTTTTCAATTCTGACCATTCGTGCAGCAATGAGACTGGGGCTTCAGGCAGACACACATGGGCAGCCATATTGGCTCTATCCACGAATATGACTGAACTAAAAGGAACTAAGTTCTTGAATGACATTCCCTCTGCAGGTCATCTTCCACAGTTTGATGTGTCGAAGATCCAACAAGTACAACCTCTGAA